AATTTTACGGTCGATGAGGCATTGCGCACTCTCATATCAAAGGGCCCAGAGAATAGCCCGGGGTTCGATGTCTTCAGGGACTCTTCATGCCCGGTGTTGGGGCAGAACGAACCGATGCTTATCGCAAGTAAGCGGGAAGTTCCCTAGGAGCAGTATTTTCTGACAACGTTTGCGCAAACGGTGACAACCTGCATCAGGCTGATTGAGTGGTTGTTCCGGTTAATTTATGTAATAGTTATAAATGTGTCATATTGGGATTTTCTACTCATATATAAAGGGGACCCTTATCATTTTTGTAGGCATCTGATACACAATATTGAATATACAAGAACATTCTCTCTGCTTTCTAACTTAACAAATTCTCTTGATTCCACCACTTATATTTATTGTGTTCTATTTATTGTTCTTCATTTATTGATCATTATTGGCCATAAAGAGACGCCATTGGATTTATCATAACTGTTAATCCTTCATCGACTGCCCCTGGCCGAGCCCTCAACTCGACCTCGATGCCCCGTATACACAAGCTCGAGGCTCCGATTTCCAGCCATCCAGTTTGATTATTATACTATATGCGAGCTATTGTCTCATTATTTCTAATCTTTCACTTAGCATCTATTGCCTAACAACTAGCATAAAAATAGATCATATCTTTTTAGAACCACAAAATCAAATCTAATTGTTATTATCATTTTCAAGGTAAACAATATTACGATACATATAAGGAAAAATTACGCGACACGTCAAATATTTACATCAAATATAGTCGATATAAGTTGTATATTTTATATAAACTCCTGTATACAGTCGATACAAGTTATATCCTTTGTATACATTCTTGTATTTTGCCTTAGTTACAGTTGATAGATGTTGTATTCGTTGCACGAATAAATATAATTGCATGAACGAATACAATTGATATATGTTGTATTCGTTGCCCGAACGAATATAGTTGACACATGTTGTATTCGTTGCGTGAACGAATACAATTGACACATGTTGTATTCATTGCGCATTTGAATACAAGTTAATAACAATTGAATAATTGCTATAAATGATAATTCAACAAACTATAGTTACTAGGCTTTAAACTATAGCACTTTATAAAAATTCCTCTACATATTATTCGTCGAAATATTTACCTCAAGAAATAGTGCAGTACTTATTATTCGTTTCTGTCACACCTCAGGGGGATAGGGGTAGAGAGTTTTTCCAATTAAAGTAACATTAATCGAAATATGATTGTTTATTTAATTTCAGAGTCGCCACTTGGGATATTTATGGTGTCCCAAGTCACCGGTTTATTTTTAAATCTCCAATCGAGAAAATTAACTCTATTTTTGATCCGAGAACATAGAAGATCAGGTAAGAAATTCTGTTAACCTGGGAGAAGGTGTGAGGCACTCTCGAGTTCCATGGTTTTAGCATGGTCGCTCAACTATTAATAATTGGCCTAATTATCTGATTAATACATTTTTAAAACCTATTGTGCATTTTTAACTTTTAACCGCTTTTAATATTTATGGAATTATTTCTGGAACAAATTACGATGTTGTACACTAGTCATTTTGGTGCACGTTGCGAACCGCGCCACATGAAATGCACCCGCGATTTATGACATGTTTATTTTTATCATTATTGAAAGTTATGGTCGGGTCACATAAAATGTACACCCGAATGGGATTTACGTATCATGACCATGTCAAGGGAACCATATCCATGGCCACGGTGATTTATTAATCGCGCCTAAAGCAAGCTACAATATTTATGAATTATTTTCGTAAGATGCTTGGTTCATAAAAGTCATTTACCTACTCTAGCTAAATGAGGAAATGAGAGAATATAAAAGCACATAACCTAAAAAAGTAAACATTGTTAATATTCTGTAAACAACACAAATCTACATCTGATTGACTACATAATTCATAGGGTCTAAATCGAAAAGAACTAGAAAATGGAAAGACTAGTCGTATAATCACTTTTCATTCACAAGATGATATAGGCATCTGATGATTAACGATAAAAGGTGTCCAGATGGAAACTTACTTATGAACTGCCTCTTTGAACTTTTCCTCATCCAAAAAACTTGATTGTTTAATAACTTGACAAGCAGAAACGGACAGGACAATGGACAAGCACTCAGACGGAGCATCGAAACTCGCCGGCGACATCGACGAAAACGGAAATACGATGGAAAAGACATATCATCTACTTCTAAAACCCAACTCAGAAGCAAAAGAAAACAACAGACCCCCAAAATTCGAAATTTCAGCAGCATGGACGATGAACAAGAGGTGGTTCATGACTGTTGCTGGCGTTCATGGCTGTTTTTGGATGAGTTGTGCGGCTATTAGCTTAGGAATTGAGAGTCGATATTTTTGTGGAGGGGGTCTGCGTGGTGTAGGAATTTAGGAAATTTTTTCCATTTTTGTGTTTTGTTGTTGAGTGTTAGGAAGGAGACGATGAGGAGTGAGCTCCTTTCTATGGGGCATGCAACTGGAATTATTTGAGTGAGGTCTAATCCAGGTTTGGCAGCTACTGTATCTAGGTTAGAGATTAGGTTAGGGTTTGGGTGTAATGTGTATTTTGTATGTGAGGGAGAAAATGAATCTAAGCCTTTGGATTGAAAGAGTTTTAACGGCTGAGATTTCATTTGTATTTCTAAAAGGGTTGATGGGTCAAGCTATTTGGGCTCAGGTTTGGCCCAATTTGGTCCATGACTAGAACATTTGAACAAAGCAAGATTTTAGGAGAGTTAGTCCAAATTAAATCCTTTTTTGTGATTATGATTTTCTTTTAATGATTAATAGATAAAATAACTAAAATACTACTCCTAAACTTGAATAGCAAGATAAAATACTAACCACTCAAAATTTACTTATCAATCTCACATATTTTTTGGAAAAGTTTTCTTTCTTTGTAAATGAAGATAAAACTTATAGTAAAAACGTGACACTTTTTTTTTATTGTTTTCGATTTTCTTTAAGTAAAATATATAAAAGGGGAAATAAGAGCTAAAATATGTACATAAAACTTAAAATATATTTACATACTAAAAGGTAATGAAAAACTCAAATATAGTAAAAAAATTAGGTGCTCACAGCTGCCCCTCTTTGCTTTGAAACATGAAGAGTTTTCAAGCAAAGACAAAGTGAGTCGTGTGACTAATTTTTGACTGTATTGTTGTTCAAAAGAGGAAGAGAAAAAAAGAAAAGGTACAACCGAGTCCTGGTGTTGGACAACCTACATATTCCGGGTGATAAGGGAATCAGGTCGCGTGCAGTTCAAAAAGGATGATGGAGTAATTAGTTCAAGACTCAAGTGAGGTTCCCTGAGGCTCCGGTCCATCGTCCTGTTATTACATCAAAATCAAAATGAAAAAGACTAACTAAGTCTATCAGCTACGTGTTACAAGATTCCTATCTATAAATCTTCTAAAGCTTGATCTTGAGTCTTGGCTAGTTTTTCATGCAGACTCTGATCTGAATCTTGATACTTGTTAGCTGCAAGTGCTGGTTCATTCTTCTTCAGCTTTTCGGATCAAGGCGGGACATGCAAAGCTTGTGACTTCAATCATGTCTTGAGCAGTCCATATCTTTTCTCCGCTTCTGCACTTTGAGTTCACTTCTTTTTCTTTTCTTCTTTTTCTTTTATTCTGGATTGAGACTTCTTCTTTTGGTTATCTCGAAACCTGTGTCTCGAGGTATAACCTGCTTAGATACCAAAACAAACAAACGAATGGAATTTTTCTGTCACAGTTTTCACTAGGAATATTTTGTGAGTTATTTGTAACCAAAACTCTATACTACTTCATTATCGAAAGCAATAAATGTCAAGATTGTGTATCCTTGGGAAAAATAGATTAGAGAGTGGAGATCCAATATCTAAAAAAATGAAATCCATTAGGGATTTGGGACCCTATGTTGGAAAATCATAAACTAGGGAATGGTGACCCTATGTTGGCATCAGGTTATGCTAGCATCAACTAGGGAGTGGAGACTCTATGTTGGCATCAACTAGGGAGTGGTGACTCTATGTTGGCATCAAGTTCTGCTGGCATCAGGTTATACTGGCATCAACTAGGGAGTGGAGACCCTATGTTGGCATCAACCAAGGAGTGGTGACCCTATGTTGGCATCAACCAAGGAGTGGTGACCCTATGTTGGCATCATGTTATGTTGGCATCAACTAGGGAGTGGAGGTCCTATATTGGCATCAACTAGGGAGTGGTGACCCTATGTTGACATCAGGTTATGATGGCATCAACTAGGGAGTGGAGACACTATGTTGGCATCAACTTGGGAGTGGTGGCCCTATGTTGGCATTAGGTTATGCTGGAATCAACTAGGGAGTGGAGAACATATGCTGGCATCAACTAGGGAGTGGTGACCCTATGTTGGCATCAGGTTATGCTGACATCAGGTTATGCTGGCATTAGGTTACGCTGACATCAACTAGGGAGTAAAGACCATGTGTTGGCATCAGCTAGGGAGTGGTGACCCTATGTTGGCATCAACTTATGCTGGCATCAACTAGGGAGTAGAGACCTCATGTTGGAAAATCATTAGGTTATGCTGGCATCAACTAGGGAGCGAGACCCTATGTTGGAAAGTCATCAGGTTATGCTGACATCAACTAGAAAATGGGCCTATTGCAACAGTTTTTTTGTAATGGTTATATAACCGTTGCTATAGAACTACTATAGCAACGACTATAACCGTTCCAATAGACGTTGGATGATAGCAGCACACCTTAGAGATCAAACCGTTCCAATTGTAATTAAACGTGGCTAAAAAGTTTTTTTCCGGAACGGCTTTGTAAGCCGGCTCAAATGACCTGTTTGTGGGAACGGTTATTTGGGAAAAATTGTTATTGGAACGGTTCTTTTTTCCTTATCTGTATTCCCTCCTAAATTTTGCTAAACCCGCCAATAACAATCCCTATTTCTTTCTATTTTAATTAAATATAAATATAAAATTATAATTTATATTTTATATCGTATTAACTCTTCTCTCCAAACATCAATACCCACCAAACCTCTCTAAAGACTCCATCGATATCCCCAAAGCTTGTCTTCTTTGCCATACCCTAAGAGAAAGTACCCAAATCTGAAAATTGGATTTGAGATCTGAAAATTTCCCTCGTATAAACATTGGATGGTTTTATAGTGCTTGCAATTGAGCATTTGCAAAAATGAAGTAAACGAAATGTCAGACCTATTAGCCCAAATTATCAAGTATTGCTAACCTCGTCCCTCTGCTGCTTTGATTCCCAAATTGCATTTTGACTTCTCGATTGCTTGAAGGATTAGCTGAACCCAAAACGAAAGCTCGACTACTCAACTGCTTGAAGCCAAAAATTGGGAAAAGATGAAAGGCAAAATTTACAACTGGGAATAACAATACAAATAGGTACTCCCTTAACAACCACTTTCGTGACTTTCATGTGTTTCATATTTCATGAGTTTTCTTTACAAATTCTTGATTTTACCTTCTAATGGGGTTTATTTTTCATAGTGATTAGTAGCTCTCTATAGTTGCAGATTTGTTTGTATTTGGGGGTTCAATATTTGGGTAAATAGGGTTGTATATTGCTACTATCTCTCTCATGATTTTTTCCGATTGTTTTTTCAATTTCTCAACAGCAGATTTGTCGAACTGCAGAATTCTTCGTTTACTGGTAGTGCAGGAAGAAATTATTATTGGTAGCTGAAGAGAAATTGTTGCTGGTAAATTTTGGATAATTAAATTTGCTGGCAGTGTACTTGTATACTTCTTATTTAAGATTTTTTTATAATTTTAATTTTCTCTATATTTTCTTCCTTTCCCATTCTCAAGGCTACTCCTTGGATTAGGATTCTGTTTTGGGGTTTTCATAATTGTTGGTTGAGTGCTCTCCAACTTCTACTTATGCTGTAGGATGGTTTGAATTATTGGGGGTTTAAGGATCCGAGTTTGTTTTATTAAGATGGTTTATAATTTATGCTTTTATTTTGGGCTAAAACAAGGATGGGCTGTAACATCCTCCATTTTTGGCGTGGTTTTACATTGCGGCAAAAGTTACATGAGATGAGAAGTTGCTTGAAGTGAAATAATTTGAATGATATTACTTTGGAGAACAAAGATTCAGTAGTGTTCTGGCATGATATTACTTTGGAAAACTTCTCAATATTAATATCATTCATGTTAATTTGAAAATCATGTTATATGTCTGTTCATCTTATCTGGGAAACTAAAAATAAGAGTTGGTGTATTTGTGTAATTTCTTTGAACAAAAGCCATCTATTAGCTTCCATCTTCTTTGTGCATGAATTTGTCTGTGATTAATATAACAATTATTATCTAAAAGTTATAGTCGTCATATTTAGGATGCTATTAGTAAGATATAGAAAACATGCTTTAGATGTTTCTTGGTGTTCTTATTTGGAAATATTTGTGTTCAGAATTTTTGCTCTTAAATATTTTTAACTCTTTCAAGCCCATGATTGTATGAAGAGGTACTGATTTTTCTGGTTGAAAGTACTATGTGTTGTAGCATTTTAAAAGCTTGTATGTTTGATATAGTTATTAGAATCTCATTTAAAAACCATATTCAAGTGGAAATAAAAAATCTTGCAGTAGACTGAAAACATCTTTTGAAAACCATATAGTTTTAAAAGCTTGCGGTAGACTGAAAAATCTTTTGAACTAGGATGGAAATAAAAATTATCCATCTCTCATCTATGTGAAAATGACACTGTTTTTAAAGTTTAAATGGTTATTTGGTCAGACATACAAATTGCAGCATTCAAGTTAGTGTTTTTGTTTTAGCAGCTTCAGAACAAACTTGTCCGTTAACATCCTCACTACATGTTCCAGCAACCACCTCATTCCAGACAAAAGTGTTCAACCCCAATGCCAGTGATTCTATTAAGCACAGTTGCGTATCTTAAGATTTATAATGACTGCCATCTGCAATTTCGGGCAAAAAACACCTTCACTGGAGTAAAGCAGAAGACAAAGAATCTGTCTACAGATCCTTCTAATCTTCTCTTCTATTTTTTTGCTAAAAAGAATAATCTTATACTCCCTCCATTTCAATTTATGTGAACCTATTTGACTGGGCACGGAGTTTAAGAAAAGAGAGAAGACTTTTGAACTTGTGGTGTAAAATGAGGCACATATATTTTGTGTGGCTATAAATCATTGCATAAAGGTAAATTGTTTCCAAATAAGGAAAGGGGTCATTCTTTTTGGCACAGACCAAAAAGGAAATAGGTTCACATAAATTGAAATGGAGGGAGTATATATAAATAAAATTAGAGTCTCTACAAAAAACGTAGGGACTGTCCTACTATATTAGAAGCCTTGGATAGTCTTGGGTGTATAAACCTATTACAAAAGGGGATGAACTTCAAAAAACTCCACATTCATGTGTGCTATTGTGTTACTCTCCCTATAGTTGTGTTCCACTTTAATCATCAAGGAAGAAAATGTTGAGAAGAAAAGGCTTTTGTTGTTGTACTTATCAAAAATGTGCCATGTGAACACCTTTTGTGGTTTATTTTAAACTTTCATTGATACTAAGAACGGATCTCTTCTCTAATGATTTTATAGCTATTTCTGAATGCAAGAATTGCTTTGATATTTGTAACTCCTAGAGTTCATTCCCTTTAAGCTTTGGTCAAAGTCAAATTAGTACGTACCTTGGTTTATTGAGTAAATTCTGTTGATTTACTTTTGTCGTATAGGATTTTCATGGATAATGTAGATAAAAGTTGGATGCATCTCCTAAGATGGACGGATGAGTACATCCGTGGAGTGAATGTGTCACGACCCCAACCTCGGTCGTGATGGCGCCCAACACACTGCTAGGCAAGCCTGACCAACTAACAACCTCGACCCATTTCTTATACAATTCATTATTAGCTAACACAGTTAAATTGCCAATTTATCATAATAAAAGTTTAGGACAATGAGTCAAATATGAGGAAATTCAAATGATAATGCCACTACATAACCCATACAGATCTGGTGTCACAAGTCTCGAGCCTCTAGCACAAGCTTAACAGCCTAATACATAATCAGGTTAGGAAATGCGGATAAAACGAAAGGATAGAAGGGAGAGATCCTAGCTACGGACGCCGTGCAGCTACCTCGATGCTCCCTGATATAAACTGATCGATTGAATATACTCTCTCAGCCTCTAGAACACCTGGATCTGCACGCAAGGTGCAGGGAGTAATGTGAGTACTCCGACCCAGTGAGTAATAAGCATAAATAATGACTGAGAATAAGAAATCACGGAAATCATAGAGTAATCTATAATGCGGCAGTTTAAACAAGTAATATGAAAGCAATAAACCAATGGAAATGAAATATAGAGATGCTACAACAAATAAGCAGTTAAGTGATAGACATATAACGAAAATCAACACATAGAACGGTACCCTATAGTACCCCTGCGACGTACAGCCCGATCCGTATATTTATCATCGACGGCGCTCACTGGGGGTGTGCAAACTCCGGGAGGGTCCCCTTACAGCCCAAACGCAATATCAAGCCATCTCGTGGCATCAACTAGGCCCTCGGCCTCGTATCAATATCAACATAATACTGCTGCGGCGCGCAGCCCGATCCCATAATATCCTCACATCTGGCCCTTGGCCATACTCAATCCAAAAATCATATAAGCCTCTCGAGCATTTAGTAAAACAGTAGTTCTCAGCCCAAAACATCATTTAATATATCTATTTAGTTTCAAAAATCGAGTAAAAATGCTGAGTTGTAAAACAGTGGAAAACGGTATGACTGAGTTCAAGTAGTAAGTCTAAACAATGAGGAAATAGTGATAAAACTCCCAAGAGGGTTCAAATAGTTGGCACGAAGCCCAAATATGGCAATCAATCCAAATAATGAGGATAACAAATAAGCTTTAATCGAATACGCGGTAAAAACATCACTCAGGACGGACCAAGTCACAATCCCCAATAGTAATGACCCCACGCTCATCATCAAGCGCGTGTCTCACCTCGATATAGCACTACGATGTGCAAATCCGGGGTTTCAAACCCTCAGGACATCATTTACATTCATTACTCACCTCGAACCGGCTAAAGCTCTAGCTCACTATGCCCTTGCCTCTCAAATCGGCCTCCTCGCGCGTCGAATCTGACCAAAACCGGAACGAATACGTCACAATATGCTAAGGGAACAAAGCCCAAGCAAAAACAATTGAAAATATCAAAAATCTCAAAATTGGCAAAACCTGAGCCACGGGCCCACTTCTGGAAACTCAGAAATTTTCACATCATTAGATTCTTTATCTCCCCACGAGTTCATACATATCAAAAACACCAGAATCGGAGTTCAATTGACCCTTCAAATCCTTAATTTAAGCCCTCTTAAACTCAAGCCCTAAACCTCCATTTTTAGTCCATTAATTCCTTAAATTCCAGTCCTAATTCATGAATTACCACCATATAAGTGTGTTTTAAGTCTAAAATCCTTACCTTATCGAAGTTCCCTTGAAATCTCTCTTCAAAATCGCCCAAAAACTCTATGTCTGAAGTTAAAAATGGTTAAACCCTTTAAAAATCGCAAAGAAGAGACATATATACATTCTGCCCAGGGGTTTTCGCATCTGCGACCCCTTTACCGCACCTGCGGTATCGCATTTGCGGTCCAACCAACCGCTTCTGCGGTTTCTCATTAATATTCCAAAAGTCGCTTCTGCAACTGGACTTCCGCATCTGCGGCTTCGCAGATGCGGCCACCTCGACCGCTTCTGCGGAAACTGCTCCCCAGCCCAAACTTCGCATCTGCGGCTTTTCCCCTCGCATATGATGGCACCGCACTTGCAGTTCCCAAGCCGCAGGTGCGAAAACACCAGAAGCAACACACTTTCTACAATCATTCAAGTTCAAATCTTCCCGTTAACCATCCTAAATCACCCCGAGACCCTCGGGACCTCAACCAAAAACACAAACATGACCCAATACCTTATTCAAACTTGTTAGACTCATCAAAACACCTCAAACAATACCAAATCTACTAAATCACATCGAATTCAAGCCTAATTTTTAAAAATCTTCCGAAATACGTTTTCGATCAAAAACCTAGCCAAAACACGTCCGAATGACCTGAAATTTTGCACATACATCCCAAATGACATAACGAAGCTACTGCAACTCTCGAAATTCCATTTCGACCCTTGGATCAAAATCTCACCTACCAACCGAAAATCGCCACAATACTAACTTCACCAATTCAAGCCTAATTCTACACCGGACCTCCAAAACCAATTCCGATCACACTCCTAAGTCATAAATCACCTTCCGAAGCTAACTGAACCATCAGAACTCACATCCGAGCCCTCTAACTCATAAGTAAATCTCCGGTTGACTTTTCCAACTTAAGCCTTCTTAAAAGAGACTAAGTGTCTCATTTCTTACGAAAATCACACCAAATGCAAACCAATCAACTCAACCACATAAAACACGGATAAAGAAGCATAAAGAAGCAGAAATGGGGAAAAGGGAGCGGTAACTCATGAGACGACTGGCCGGGTCGTCACATCCTCCCCAACTTAAATAAACATTCGTCCTCGAACGAGTCAAGAAACATAGGCGCCCAACACACTACTAGGCAAGCCTGACCAACTAACAACCTCGACCCATAAAACACGGATAACGAAGCATAAAGAAGTCGAAATGGGGAAAACAGAGTGGTAACTCATGAGACGACTGGCCGGGTTGTCACATCCTCCCCAACTTAAAGAAACGTTCGTCCTTGAAAGAGTCAAGAAACATACCTGAAGTCTCAAACAGGTGAGGATATCTGCTCCGCATCTCCCGCTCG